GACGGAACCATGCGATTTTGTGTTGACTATCGGAAATTAAATAAAGTTTCGGTGGCGGAAGCATACCCGCTTCCACGAATTGATGATTCGCTGGACGCCCTGTCCGGTGCCAGAATCTTTTCGACCCTCGATTTGTTGTCGGGCTTTTGGCAATTGCCCTGGATAAAGAGTCAAGACCTAAAACGGCATTTCGGACACCACAAGGATTGTATCAATTTAACGTGCTCCCGATGGGACTCCACTCAGCGCCGGCGACCTTCCAGCGATTAATGGAACTCGTGTTGTCGGGCCTGCAGTGGGAGTCATGTTTGATATATTTAGATGATGTGATTGTTTTCAGTAGGAATTTCGATGAACATTTGCAACGGCTGCGCGCCATTTTTGGCAGAGTGCGGCGCGCTGGATTGAAATTTAAACCACAGAAGTGCCAATTGTTGAGAACATCGGTGAAGTATTTGGGGCACGTCGTTAGTGCGTCAGGAGTGGCCACTGATCCGGAAAAGACGAGTTGTGTGCGTACATGGCCAGTGCCGAAAACAGCAGGGGAAGTGCGTAGCTTTGTGGGCTTTGCATCGTATTATCGGCGGTTCGTTAAGGATTTTGCCACGATTGCTCGACCATTGCATACGCTGACCGGGAAAGGTGTAAAGTTTCAATGGGGGATTGCTGAACAGAAATCGTTTGAAGCGTTGCGGGCCGCACTGGCGGACGCACCACCGTTGGGATACCCGGATTTTACGAAGCGATTTATACTTGACATGGATGCCAGTGATACGGGCATAGGCGCGGTTTTGTCACAAATGGTTGATGGCGTCGAGAGAGTGGTGGCATATGGCAGCCGGGTGTTATCGCCGGCGGAGCAAAAATACTGTGTGACGCGTAGAGAATTGTTAGCGATTGTCCATTTTGTTCGGCAGTACCGACTGTATCTGTACGGCAGGGAATTTTTGATCCGCACTGATCACGCGGCACTACAGTACTCGCTGCGCGTGGATCAGCCGTCGGGGCAGATGGCTCGCTGGCTTGAGACCCTCCAGGAGTACTCTTTCACGATCCAACATAGGAAAGGAACGCGCCATGTAAACGCGGGTGCTTTGTCGAGGTTGCCGCGACCGGCTGAGACGTGTCGGTGCGCAGAGGGCTCGCTGCGTTGCGGCCCACCGCTGCAGGAGGTTCCGCAAATGGTCGCTGCAGCGGGTTCGGGAGTGCCAGGGATAATCCCTGGAGCAGAAATTGGATTGTTGGGGTTGTCATTGAAACAGTGGAAGCAACTGCAGGTAGAGGATTCCTCGCTGACCAGGATGAGGCTGCGTGCCTCTCGTTCAAGGGGATCGGAGGATCGCCCATTTTTGATGTTGACGGAGGGGTTGCTTGTTCGCTGGAATGTGGAAGCGCAAAAATTTTGTATTGTTGTCCCGAGGATGTTGCGGGGGAAACTCATTAACGAGATACATGAGAAATTGATGCATTTGGGGGAGAAGAAGACCGCGTTGACAGTGGGGAATGAATTTTACTGGCCGGGAATGTTTAATGATGTGAAACAGCATGTAAAAGCGTGCCAGGAATGTGCGCGGAGGAAAGCGCCGGCACGGCCATATCGTGTCCCATTGCAATCGATTCAAGTTTCGAGAGTGAACGAAATTGTGGCACTAGATATTTTGGGTCCGTTCCCCGTCACCCCCCGAGGGCACAAATATTTGCTTGTCGGGGTGGAATACTTAACTCGTTGGCCGATGGCCTGGCTGCTAGTAGACCAGTCAGCGACGTTGATCGCTGAGGCTTTCTTGAAAGGGTACGTCTTATATAAGGGGGCCCCGGAACAATTGCTTACTGACCAAGGCAGAAATTTTCATCGAAATTGATTAAAGACGTGTGTGACTCGCTGGGGACCAAAAAGATCCGGACGTCCCCGTACGACCCGCAGACTGACGGGATGGTCGAGCGGCTGCATAGGACGCTGACGTCCATGCTTTTGTCACCAAGTAAACACCGCTCAAGATGATTGGGACCTGCATGTTGCAGCGACGCTGGCCGAGTATAGATTGCCCCCGCATGCCTCAACGGGGTACTCGCCATTTTTTCTAATGTATGGACGGGAACCAGAAGCGCCGGCTATTGTTAAATTGGGAATTCGTAAGCGAGAGAAATCTACGACGGTGCCTGCTCCAATGCAGGTGGCTTTATAGACCGTCTGAGGGAAGCCCGGGAGGCTGCATTGAAAAATACGGCACGATGACAAGCCGCTAATGAAAGATTGTACGGCAGGCAGCAGCCACGAGAGCCGTGGAGTGTTGGAGATAAAGCCTGGTTGCACTGCCCCATGGTGCCGGTGGGAACGTCCCCGAAGTTTCACCACCCCTGGCAGGGGCCCGTTGATATTGTGGAGGTTTTACGGGATCAGAGTGTGCGAATAAAATTCGATCGTCGGACATGGTTTGTTCACCCGTCGCGCTTGAAGAAATTTGTGTTACCATATGATGCGTCATCCCCCATCCGAATGCGGCCTGTATTGGATGTGTCCGACGAACCTGTGGTGAGGTCACAAGTGCGCGTGTCCCAGAGATCTACCCCCCGTGTGCCTGCAGGATCGCCCTTTTTGGGCAGGGTTACCGACCGGACGCCGATTGAACGGCCGCAAATCCGGACCAATGGCCATCCCGACCATGAACGACGGACAGCCCCGCCAGTGGAGTGTCGCTGGGACAGGGATGGGTGCAGGGTGGAGCCCAGAAGCGCCCCTCGTTGGCGAGACGAGCGAGGCCCTCCCTTACCGCAGGGTGTCCCGTGCAGGGGAGATGGGCCGGCAGCGGAAACCCGTTTCAGGAGGAATACAATACGTTGACTTTGGGGGTTTGGGAATTCTGTATAAAGGTGTTGTGTGCGTGTCGTTGTGTGGTTGTACAAAATGGTTATGTGTTGCGAATGCGTTATGTATATATGTTTTCATCGTTACGTCCGCTTCACTCCACTACTCCAATTCGAGTATATCGTAGCCGGGAACGGCTAGGTTCTTTCATCACGGGGGGGGGGGGGGGGGGGGGGGGATGTAGTGGGGGAAACGATACGCATAATTAAATTGGCCACATACAGTACATACAGACATACAAGCAGAGTGGGTCACATAAGGTCGAGCAGGTGGTCGAGTCACGGGTGGCGTAAACAAAGCGAAGTAATTAAAGGAGTCATGGCACGAGGGCTGTGATTGGTCAAGAGGCTGTTAGCGTTAAGTGACGGCGTCGCGAAGTCTGGCCGTTGGACAGGTGGGAGCTGGTGGGAAAATGCCAGCGAGCCACGTGGCAATTAATTAAGGCTAATTGAAAAGGGGATAAAACGCTAGGTGATTTGAACGGGGAGTTGAGTTGTTGTTGGGCAGTTGTTGGCGAGAGGTGGAGAGATACGAAGAGGAGAGCTGGCAAATGTTAGGGAAGAATAGATTGAGAGCCGAACCCAAAGGACAGTAAATAGCGACAGGGAGAGTTAGCGTTAGCGGAGAGGTAGTTACGGCGGAGATAGGTACAGGGAGAGTTACAGATAGAGTCACTGTGTGTGCAGAGATAGATAGAGTCACTGTGTGTGAATAGACAGGCAAGTCACTGTGTGTGCGGAGATAGATAGAGTCACTGTGTGTGCGGAGATAGATAGTCACTGTGTGTGAATAGATAGATAGAGTCACTGTGTGTGAATAGACAGGCAAGTCACTGTGTGTGCGGAGATAGATAGAGTCACTGTGTGAATAGACAGACAAGTCACTGTGTGTGCGGAGATAGAGGAAGTCACTGCGTGTGAAGAGATAGCGGAGACACTGTGTGTGAGGAGATAGAGAGAGAACCACTGTGTGTGGGAGGAGTATGAGCGGACGGTGCTGAGGTGAATCAGAGTGTCCGAGTTGGCGGAGCCCGAAGAGGAGAATTACTGTGTGTGCGGAACGATGGAATAAAAGTGACAGTGGAAGAAAGGCGGTTGTCGTCCGAGTGAATTCACGGCACTACATTTGTATTCATTTTTTAAATTATTTTTCAATCTACGTGACTTTACTGAAAGAACCCAAGACTATAGATGTTGAAACTGTTCTCAAAGATGAGGGTGGGTGGGGGACTTCTATCCTATGACTAGAGAGACGATGTTCGTACCATTCTCAAATATGGGGGGAGCTGTCGCCTTGGTGCGAACGTGGCAGGCCATGAGGCTTGTTTTATACAAACTTCACCACGCTGCCCAGCGCAGATTGCTGACCCGTTCAGGTATCACTCGCCACAAACACGTGAACTGTGCATCGGACTCGAGCTCAGGTTGGCCGGGTTTCCCCGAGCGAGTGCAACGCCTCATCGCGTCTGCCTTCACAGCGCAGGCAACACGACGAACCAAAGTGCCACGTCGTTACGAGTTGGAAATGAATTCCCTAGCGGATAAACGTGGGGTAACATTAACCTTCATTTGACATTGCTCTACACAAGCCATTGCAGTTTGTGATAAAGCCGACATTGAACTCATCCCAGATCTGCATTAAGACTGACCACCCCACTGTAAGCCGTGAACCCGGCTGCGTTGTGGCCACAGAGGGGAAGGAATGTTCGCGTTGGCAGCCTTTGCATGGTGCGCTTGCAAAATGCGGGCGGGTGGGTGGCTTGGTTTTCACTGCGAACGTCCTTCCAAAATAACGCCACACTGACAACCATGTACACGGAAACACTTGCGTTTCGCGGACATGAAGTTGATTTAAAAAAAAAACATTCATTTTACGTCACTCAAATTTCCCACTCGACCGTTAAAGCGCAGCGACAGGGGGCGGTGGCGTGACAGGTAAGCGATGTTGGCACGCGTTCACCACAAAGCAACGCGGCACGACAGGAAGCCACTGCGGTTTCACTCGCCGCGGACGTTAGCAGGAGTTGCGTTACGTCGCTTGTTTGAAACATTCACTCAAGGCATTTCTTTTTGATGTGAAGCTTTCGTGACTGCAGAGATTCATATTCTTGGTTCTTTCGGTAAAGTCGCCACCACGTAGAAGAGAAACAATAAAATAATGAAAATATATAAAACAATAAAATTCTCACGACGTTTCGACCGCGACACGAGCAATCGTCGTCAGGTTATGAAAACCGCAGCAAGAAAATTTTAATTTTTTTATTGTTTCCCTTCCACGTGGTGACTTTACCGAGAGAACCAAGAACATCGATGGCATTCCGTGACGACTTGGAAAGCGGGGGCATCAGACATCGGCCTCGACGCCTCTTGTCGACGCAGTTGCGGTCGAGCGGCTTGCAGGAGCATCTTCACCTCGAAGGCAGCGTCGTTGCTCACACCGTGGTGCATCTCCGTGTATTTGGACCTGCCCGTGGACGGCTTCCGCCGGGCGGTCCGCGAGGCGCTCGTCGCCGTGCGCCTCGCGGCGGTAAAAGTAGTTGAAGTTTGAGACGATGATGGGCACGGGGAGGGCGATGGTGAGCACGCCGGCGACGGCGCACAGCGAGCCCACGATCTTGCCCACCGCGGTCACGGGACACATGTCGCCGTAGCCCACCGTCGTCATCGTTACGACGGCCCACCAGAAGGCGTCGGGGATGCTGCGGAACTCCGAGTTTTGTTGGTCGGCCTCGGCGTAGTAGACGGCGCTGGAGAAGAGGACGACGCCGACGAGGAGGAAAAACACGAACAGGCCCAGCTCTCTCGTGCTCGCCTTCAAAGTCCGGCCCAGAATCTTCAAGCCCCTGGAGTGCCTGGACATCTTGAATATACGGAACACTCGCACCAGCCGGATCACCTTCAAAATCTCCAGCGACGTGGCCTGCTGGCCACGGCCCCGGCGCTTGGCCATCTCCGTGCCGAGGGTAACGAAGAAGGGCAGAATGGCCACGATGTCGATGATGTTCATGACGCTTTTGAAAAATCCTGGTTTGTTGGGACACGTCAAAAACCTCACCAGCAGCTCAAAGGAAAACCAAATGATGCAAATGGTTTCCACAATAAAAAATGGATCGGTGAAAGGGCTGCGATCCGTACTTTCGACCCGCGTGTCGTTGACGTCCTTTGCCGGGAGAAAATTCCGTCTATTCTCGTCCCTGAATTCAGGCAGAGTCTCGAGGCAGAATACGACGATGGAGATGAGAATGACCAGTACGGAAACGATGCCAATTCCCCTGGCCGGGACGGAACTCTCGGAGTACTCGAACAGCAGCCACACCCGCCGCTGGAACTCGTCCGATGGCAGCGGCTCCTCCTCCTCCTCCTGGATTAAGCCCTCGTCCTCCCGGAACTTGACCACGGCCTCGCCGCTGAGCTCGAAGAACTCGATCTCCTCGCCGAACACGTCGACTGAGACGTTGGCCGGCCGCCTGAGCCGCCCGCCGGACTGGTAGTAGCAGAGGATGGCGTCGAAGCTCGGCCGGTTCCTGTCCAGGAAGTACTCGTCGCGCAGGGGGTCGTAGAAGCGCGACCTCTTGCCGGGGTCGCCCAGGAGGGTGTCCGGGAACCGCTCGAGCGTCTCGAGCCGCGTCTCGAAGCGCAGCCCCGACACGTTAACGACGATCCTCCCGCAGTCCTCGCGCGTCAGCGGCGCTGCCGTCCCGGCGCCGGCTTCGAGCGGCGCCGCCTCGTCCATGGCGTCTGGGGGCGGGGTCAGGCTGGCAGGCGGCGGATTTCGACAGCGAGAAATGTCAGTGGGTACAAAGCCACGTGGGGTAAAAAAATATACGCGGGAAATCAGCGGCGGCGGCACAGGAATGAAATTGTATGTTTCGTATAAGTAAGAGTGGCTGTAAATACTCTTTGGTTCTATTCGGTAAAGTCACGTAGGTAAGAATAAAATAACAAAAATCACGACGTTTCGGCCACAACACAAGCGGCCTTCATCAGGTGAAGGGACCGAAACGTTGTGATTTTTGTTATTTTATCTTTTACCTACGTGACTTTACCGAATAGAACCAAAGAGTATGGATCGTTGCAGTCACGAAAGCTTCAAATCTAGAACTCCATCCGTCTGTTCCTGGCCCGGCACCCTCTTGTCAAATTGTAGAACCCATTGGTGGCACCGTGAGTCAAGAAATTTGCCCACCCCTGGGTTGGACTCTCGGGCGCGTTCTGCGCTCCTCTGGCTGTCACTCGGACTGGAAGAGTCACACTCCGACTCGGTGCATCACACAGCCTTGAGAACAACGTTTAAACTATACTCTTAGCTCTTTCGGTAAAGTCACGTTGAAGGAGACACAATAAAATAATAGTTTCATATATATTATGAGACCTCCTTTGCCAGTAACAAGATATAGGAATAGGTTTTACCCTTTTAACTGGCACAAAAACTGACACCTTTATTCAAGGCATCATGTTTGCAATAACCACAACACAAGCAGTCAAAATGCAAACAAAAAAGACAACTCTGATAATAATATTGGCACTTTCCTTGAATTTTGACGTCTTCTGGTCCACACCCGAGACGGCTTTTCTTAGAGCCTAGTCTCCACTGGTGTTGGACCAGAAGACGCCAAAATTCAAGGACAGTGGATATTATTATCAGAGTTGTCTTTTTTGTTTGCATTTTGACTGCTTGTGTTGTGGTTATTGCAAACATGATGCTTTGAATAAAGGTGTCAGTTTTTTGTGCCAGTTAAAAGGGTAAAACCTATTCCTATATGTTTTATATATTGTATTATTTTATTGTTTCCCTTCAACGTGACTTTACCAAAAGAGCTAAGAATATGAATCACTGCAGTCACGAAAGCTTTAAATCAAAATTTAACGTTTAAACTATTTCGTGGAAGTAAGTTGTTTTTGCTGTTGTCAGCAGGCGCATCTCTACACACTTGCAATGTCCTGCAACAGGCGGTGGCCTTGGGCTGCGGTCGTCTTTGCAACAGAGCTGCACTAAGCTCAGTGGGCCTCCTCAGCAGCTGCTGAGACTCAAGTCTGTAACGTGGATGAAGCAGCGGTGCAGTGGTTAGAACACTGAGCCATGACCCCATCCACCTGAGTTCAACTCCCGGCAATGGATAACATCAGTGGCCAATTATATAGGAACCTTGCCCTGTTCTGTCCCACCCGACATCCCCACCACCACCACCAACATCAACATCACGACCACCACCAACCAACATCATCACCACCACCAACATCATCACCACCAACATTCCCACCACCACCACCAACATCATCAATCATCACCACCACCACCATCATCACCACCAACATCACCACCAACATCACCATTACCACCAACAACATCACCACTACCAACATCACCACCACCAACATCCCCACCACTGCCAACATCACCACCACCAACATCACCACCACCAACATCACCACCAACATCACCATCACCACCACCATCACCACCAACATCACCACCACCAACATCACCACCACCAACATCACCACCATCACCACCACCAACATCACCACCACCACCATCATTATCACCACCACCAACATCACCACCAACATCACCACCATCACCACCACCACCAACATCACCACCACCAACATCCCCACCACTGCCAACATCACCACCACCAACATCACCACCACCAACATCACCACCAACATCACCATCACCACCACCACCACAATCACCACCACCAACATCACCACCACCAACATCACCACCACCAACATCACCACCACCAACATCACCACCACCAACATCATCACCACCAACATCACCACCACCACCAACATCACCACCCCCATCACCACCACTAACATCACCACCACCACCATCATTATCACCACCACCAACATCACCACCACCAACATCACCACCATCACCACCACCACCAACATCACCACCACCAACATCACCACCATCAACATCACCACCACCAACATCACCACCACCACCATCACCACCACCACCACCACCAACATCACCATGACCACCACCACCAACATCACCACCACCAACATCACCATCAGCACCAACATCACCACCACCACCACCAACATCACTATCACCAACATCACCACCACCACCAACATCACCAGCACCACCAACATCACCATCACCACCACCACCACCAACATCACCACCAACATCACCATCACCACCAACATCACCACCAACATCACCACCACCAACATCACCACCAACATCACCACCACCAACATCACTACCACCAACATCACAACCACCACCATCACCACCACCAACATCACCACCACCACCAACCTCATCACCACCACCAACATCACCACAACCACCAACATCACCACCACCAACATCACCACCAACATCACCACCACCAACATCCCCACCACCACCAACATCACCACCAACATCACCACCACCAACATCACGACCACCACCAACATCACCACCACTAACATCCCCACCACCACCAACATCACCACCACCACCAACATCACCACCACCAACATCACCACCACCAACATCACCACCACCAACATCACCACCAACATCACCACCACCAACATCCCCACCAACATCACCACCACCAACATCACCACCACCAACATCACGACCACCACCAACATCACCACCACCAACATCACCACCACCAACATCACCACCAACATCACCATCACCACCACCAACATCACCACCACCAACATCACCACCACCAACATCATCACCACCAACATCACCACCACCAACCTCATCACCACCACCAACATCACCACAACCACCAACATCACCACCACCAACATCACCACCAACATCACCACCAACATCACCACCACCAACATCCCCACCACCACCAACATCACCACCACCAACATCACCACCACCAACATCACGACCACCACCAACATCACCACCACTAACATCCCCACCACCACCAACATCACCACCACCACCAACATCACCACCACCAACATCACCACCACCAACATCATTATCACCACCACCAACATCACCACCAACATCACCACCATCACCACCACCACCAACATCACCACCACCAACATCACCACCACCAACATCCCCACCACTGCCAACATCACCACCACCAACATCACCACCACCAACATCACCACCAACATCACCATCACCACCACCAACATCACCACCACCAACATCACCACCACCAACATCATCACCACCAACATCACCACCACCAACATCACCATCAGCACCAACATCACCACCACCACCACCAACATCACTATCACCAACATCACCACCACCACCAACATCACCAGCACCACCAACATCACCATCACCACCACCACCAACATCACCATCACCACCAACATCACCACCAACATCACCACCACCAACATCTCCACCAACATCACCACCACCAACATCACTACCACCAACATCACAACCACCACCATCACCACCACCAACATCACCACCACCACCAACCTCATCACCACCACCAACATCACCACAACCACCAACATCACCACCACCAACATCACCACCAACATCACCACCAACATCACCACCACCAACATCCCCACCACCACCAACATCACCACCACCAACATCACCACCACCAACATCACCACCACTAACATCCCCACCACCACCAACATCACCACCACCACCAACATCACCACCACCAACATCACCACCACCAACATCACCACCACCAACATCACCACCAACATCACCACCACCAACATCCCCACCAACATCACCACCACCAACATCACCACCACCAACATCACGACCACCACCAACATCACCACCACTAACATCCCCACCACCACCAACATCACCACCACCACCAACACCACCACCAACATCACCACCACCAACATCACCAACATCACCACCACCAACACCATCACCACCACCACCATCACCACCACCACCAACATCAACATCACCACCACCACCATCACCACCACCACCATCACCACCACCAACATCACCATCACCACCACAAACATCACCATCACCACCACCAACATCACCACCACCATCACCACCACCATGAACATCACCATCACCACCATCACCACCACCACCATCACCACCAACATCACCAACACCACCATCACCAACATCACCACCACCAACATCACCACCACCACCAACATCACCACCAACATCACCACCACCACCAACATCACCATCACTAACATCCCCACCACCACCAACATCACCACCAACATCACCACCACCAACATCACCACCACCACCAACATCACCACCACCACCACCACCAACATCACCACCACCACCAACATCACCACCACCACCACCAACATCACCACCACCAACATCACCACCACCACCATCACCACCACCAACATCACCACCACCATCACCACCACCAACATCACCATCACCACCACAAACATCACCCTCACCACCACCAACATCACCACCACCATCACCACCACCATGAACATCACCATCACCACCATCACCACCACCACCATCACCACCAACATCACCAACACCACCATCACCAACATCACCACCACCAACATCACCACCAACATCACCACCACCACCAACATCACCACCACCACCAACATCACCACCATCACCACCACCAACATCACCACCACCACCATCACCACCACCACCAAAATAACCATGACCACCACCACCAACATCACCACCACCAACATCACCATCAGCACCAACATCACCACCACCAACATCACCACCACCACCAACATCACCACCAACATCAC